TGGTGATTAAAAGAGGAATAAGATTTTATTGGAGATATGTCACTTGTGGATCAAAGGGACCTCAGTTCTTCCTATTAAGTGTCAAGTGCATGCAAATACTGCTTTAAACTTCTAAAAATATAACACTTCTGAGCTTTAAGTACCACAAACCAAAAGGGACAGTGTTTAGAGGGTGCATAATAATTTTCAAGACCTCCTTCTGATAAAAGGAAACATGCATTGGACTAAAGGTTGCTGTAGCATTCAATTTTAGATGTTAGGAAACTACATGAACATTTCTAAACACTTTGTCTTGGACTTCTTGAATCACTGTTCTGAAAACTTTTGGAAAGAACATTTGAAGTTGTAACTGCAGATGAGACGGGAAGCAGGCTGTCATCTTGAACAGGGAATTTGAGTTACTTGAAACATACAGGAAGGTGTCTTAAAGATTTATTTTTAAGCTTCCTTGAAGTTAGTTCAGATTGTTTTTTTCTTTTTTTTTAATAGGAGTGAAACTCGGGTGTGGCAGAAGTAGGCTTGCCACTTGTGTTTGTCATAGTGCTCTGCATCATGCGGGGTGACTTCAGTGCGATTTTCACAACGGAACACTTGACTGCTTCAGGGTGGGGAGCCACAAGGCTGTACCAGGAAAAAGTTGGTGATGTTGGACTATACTTTTATCTTGCTGTGCAAACGACTTTCTTAATTAGTGCAGTTCATTTTGTTTAGTGTTCTGTATCCAAAAAATTGATCCGAGTTAACAATAGTTCTTGTAAATGATATTCTTTGTAAGAAAGGCAAGCTCCATGAAGAACAACTAAGCAGTTCATAGTCCTTTTTACTGATGTTTTATTTCTTGGCGTTTATTCTATTGTTAGGACTGCAACCTTTCTTCTTGCTATTTGTTTGCCATATGTTTTTAGACTTTCAAAGTTACCATAACTCAGGTGTGATTTTGGTGTGAAAAGAAAGATTATCATACTCTTAGTCTTCCTCCTGCCTCCGATTGCTTGCAAAAGGACTTGGTTCATTGTGCATTTTAGTGGCTTTTGGGACCTCCCTGATAGAATTAGGAGATGATTCAGCCTCTTCAGTAGAGAGGTTAGATGGAAATAGAAATACACAAAGTCTAAATATTTTGCTTTTCAGTTTGATGCAGAAAACTTCTTCACACTTCAAACCTTATAAGGCTGGAAAAAGTGCTTCGTCTTAAACCTCAGGCAGCTTAGCTGTCTTGAAGTGTGTGGAATCAAGATTCGAGATTAGAGCTGTACTCCATGGACTGAAATTTAATGCCTGATGTCCTTAAAGCTGCCACAAGGCCAACAAGATACTTAATGAACTGTCACTTGTGGAAAAAGCTTTCCCCATGCTCTGACCTTCTTGCAGCTATGAACAGATCACTTGGGAACACTGACTGTCAGGAAGGGCTTGAACTCGTTATCTTTCCATTAGCAACATTTTATTTGCTTGCAGAATAACTGTAGGGTCAGATTCTGTAAAGTTTGTGATGTTTTAAGCTTGAGTTTGCCCTCAAACACAACAGGATCTCATGAGTGTCAGAAGGGAGAGTGCATAGCCAGGGCAGGGAGAGGGTAGGAAATCAGCATCCTGCAGTTACTTTGAGCTGGGCTAATGTTGAACCACAGACCTAGGCACACTTTGGGCCATTCTGTTTAGCCTCTCGTTAGGGAAAGCCTGAGTGTGTTCAAGTAGAGTTTAGTGTCACCCTACAAAGAATTCTCACTTGGAGACTAGAACAAGAAATTGCACCTGTGGATAGTAAGCTGAAGCATCTATAAATGTGGTAATCCAGAAAAATAAAAAGACTATTAAATGCAAAATGATGATACCTTTAATATATTTCTCTGGCTCTTTAATACTGCATTTGGTATCTGGAAAACGTGAGACAATTGCTGCATGTGCTGTGACCATCTTATCAAAGTAAGGCTAAAAAATAAACAGGTCTCACTTAAAATCCAGATAACGTTCAATGTGTGGAAGGAAAGTCTTGTCATAGCTGAGATTCTTTGGAACTTGCAGTATTTCTTTATAATGTTTGCTTATGTATTGTGGCATGGCGTTTGGTCTTTATTAAAATCCCTTCCTCTTGGAAGTGTGGCTCCCTTAGCTGCACTCACATCTCTACAGCTGCTTTTCTGAATCTTTGCCATCCATCCTTCTCCCACAAACTGTACTGTATGCTAATTGGGGCTGTTGGCCTTCGTATGCTGCAGGGAGGGTGTGTAACCAGCCTTGCCCCCCATGGGTTGCAGAGCCCCAGACTTGCACTGGGATTGCACTGCTCCCCCAAGCAGTTAAATTTGCATCTCTATAACCACTCACAGCCCTGGGATGCGAGGTGGTGTTCCTGTGTAAAGCAAGTCGCTCTTTTCTGTGATGGCTTGAAGCTTTATATTTGTACATAAGTTTCAATTTAGTCATTTACAAGATTTGAGACCAAACTAGTTGCTGAAAGTATGTTTGGGGTTTTTTACTGTTTATGCAGTAAACATGCTTTCTAGGAATTAGTACCTAATTCTCTGCTCAGTTTCTTGGGGAGAAGAGAGTGAGATTTGGGTATAATAGTTAATTGCAGACATTAAGTTTGAATTAGAATGATTAATTTGAATATATTTTGAAAGTACTGCACAAATGGCTGTGAGATTATGAAGTATTTTGGAGATGGCATTAAATTGTACTTACCGTGGTACCTTTCTCATGTGAGGAAACTGCTTGTAATGCGGTGGTAGCCTTTCATGGGTGTCGGGCCTATGGTGGAGCGTATCAGCAATGTTCCTGTAGTGTGCAGAGAGCAAACCTGTGCTTGGTTTAGTAGAACCATTGCCTCTAGTGCAACAACCTATTTGGAAACTGCACTTCCGTTGGCATAAATGCAGCACACTAGAGCTTTCTGCTGCAACAGCGGTGAGGAATTGTGCTTTTTTAAACATAGTTGTGTGACAGTTAACCTGATAATGTGAACCTTACATTTATGTAACACTTGATGCTCCAAAAACATGCTGGCAGATATCCTAACGTTTTCTTGTAAGTCAATTAAGTTGCATGTTGAAGTAGTGTCAACTTCTCTTCATATATTCAAGTGACACTAATAAATATGGTCCTTGCTTTGCTTTTACAAGTAATGGCATGATCTGCCTTATGGCAGTGATGCCTTAAGGCATCAAATTAATGGTTTCCAGCACAAATATGTTTGCTAATTTAATCTTTTATCCCCCTTATTGCTGCGGCAGTTTTGTAGGGCTTGTGCCGCTTTCTACCTTATCACTAAAAAGTTGCAAGTCACTTTGTAGTTAAGGTGCTAGTCCAAAATGTCACACTGTGTAGGGGCTCTAATAAATGAGGTCTGTGAATCTTGTTATGGTACCATCCCCAGCTCATCTGCTTTACAGATTTGGGTTCCTCCTAAGGTGTTAGGCTGATCAGGAGCAGCTGAAGTGCAAACATATGTTCTGATGTGCTTGCTCTGATGCCAGGGAGGTAAGTGCTGGCAGAGCTGGTAACGAGTAACCAAGTTGTATGGTTTTCCCTCATCTGTATAGCGAGCATGTGTCCAAACTGCTGCAGTGGAGAGAACTGCTAAAACTACCCTTGGAGGAAGGAAGCATTTATCTGACAAAAGAGCTCTAAACTACAACCCTAGGAAGCAGACATGGTATTTGTTGAAGTTGCAACTGTGTGAGCTGGGTAGTTTCTGGTGTGTCAAATAACTTTAATCAGCAAGGTGTGGGGTAAAGTTGTACCTGGTGCACTCACTGTTGCAAGCTGCCTGGTTTTCCAAGATAAGCCTGAATTTCATATAGGACTGCAGTGGTCATGTCAGAATATATATGTTTGTTTGGGGTTTTTTTGCCCAACAGTAATGAATTGAAAATACTGATGTAAAGCACTACATGCCCAAATACAAGTTAATTAGTTTCACTGTTTTACAGATGGGGTCGAGGATTCGGTCTGTTGGGTTCCATCTTTGGAAAGGACAGTGCAATAAATCAGTCAAACAGTGTTTTTGGACTCGTGTTTTATATACTACAAATGCTACTTGGTAAGTATTAATTCAGTTTAGAGCCTAAAGTATATAACAGGTCTGTGATGATGAGAGAGGAGTGCATTATACATTGCGCAGTCTGCAGGAGACCAGATAAATGCATGTGATTTTTCTATCTTTTTTTTTTTTAGCACCAGTCCAATGATAGATCTGTCCAAAGGGCTTAAAAACCCAACTGATAACAAGAGCTATTGCATTTTCTCCTGCTATGCTATTAATAATACAAGCGTCAAGACAGTTGCTGCACTGGTATTTTCACTTAAATATATTTAGCATTGGATTGCACGATAGGAAAGAGAGGAGATAAAAATGGAATATACAAGTTTTGCAGGAGTAAGAGAGATGGCAGGCAAAAAAGTGCATGAAATGTAATGTATACATATTTCTTCGTAACTATATGGTCTGCTATAAAGCTGTTAATATTGATAGACATAACTTGACAACCTGTAACTTTCCCATAACTCAGGAATACGGAAGATGGTAAATACTACACATACTTATCAAAGGACTGTCGCACAGAACCTAGAAGCTCCCCTCCAAATAGCGATTTGTCAGCCATCTTGAACTCATGGTATTTTAAACAGCCTTTTACGTAATACAAACTTGCTGAGTAGCCTTTTGTTTGAATTAGAGTGGTTAGGCTTTTTGCTTTGTGTGGAAGGGGGGTAATGAGAGCAGTGTTAGTAACTTTCTCTCTCTTGTTGCAGGTATGACAGCAAGTGCAGTAGCAGCTCTAATCCTCATGACATCCTCCATAGTGTCTGTATTAGGGTCATTGTACTTGGCATACATTCTGTACTTCGTGCTGAAGGAATTTTGCATTGTCTGCGTCATCACATATTTGCTGAACTTCATTCTCTTTATCGTCAACTACAAACGACTAGTTTATTTGAACGAGGCCTGGAAACGGCAACTCCAACCCAAACAGGAATAACGCCTGTTTGAACTTTTGACTGACAGTCCGAAGACCCAACTTCCATTAAGTTTATTTTGCAGTAATTTTTTATTCTCCATATCAGACACTTTCCCCGAGAATCATAACTGAATTTTTAATTATAAATTTGAAGGGGCCCTAGATAAATTTTTTTTGTGCTAATCTTCAATTTAAATGTGGTTATGAAAGCAAGCTCTAATACAATCAAAGACAAGCTTTAACTTTACTTTGAAGGAGTTTTAGCCACAGTAAAACCTAGACTCTCTCTCTTCCCCCTCCACTTGTGAAGTGGGTAACACTTGCTATAAAATACCCTGTATATAAATTCAGGTATAACAAGATGTGATCATGACATTAAATATTCTAGACTAGCATTACCATATTTAATGTTGCCATGTTTACAGTATGTGTATTACTTTTTTTTTTTTTTTTATCTGATGGACTTAGATTTGACTAGGACTTAAAACTGTAAATAAAATTAGAAATACTGGTTTCATCCCTGGAGAGCTCACTGTACAATCGGTTTTGTTAGCCTAGGAGCTGTCAGATTGTTCAGCTAATAGTCGACTGACGTGATGGAAGAAGTGGCCTCTGTAGAGAACACCATGTTGCTGCACTCATTGCTAGTGCTTTTTCACAAGAATGATGGTTGGGTTTTGTTCCTTTTTTTTTTTTTCTGTCTCCAGTAACGAAAATGGAATTAAAGCTGAAACCTGAAGTGCGTTCATTAAACCACAACTTCATTAATTTCTGTACAGAACGAAAATAGCTTAATGTGGTCAACACAAAGCTGCCGCCGGGATATTACATGCCGATTGGGGGTTGGTGTATCGAAGTGTCTTCTTTGAAAGGACTTAATTTCCATGCAGAGCTGTTTCATTTTTAAATTGCGGTCAGCCAGCCAGTGTTACTAATGTTTGATGTTATATGAATGCTGCAGTATAGAATTGCAATTTGCAGTGGAAACCACTGACTGAGTGGGGTAACCAAGTAGTGCACTAAAGAAGCAGTTACTTAATTGATCTTCCTCAGGATCTTTGGTTTGTGCTATATTAGGATTTGAACTTTAGGCCTGACACACATAAGATCCCTTGGAAGGGCAACCTGTTTAGTGGGATAAGTAAGTAAATGTGCTCCTGAAAATGAAATGTGATATAGTGCTATCATTGCTCTTTCTAATAACTAATTGGAAAAAAATTAAACTGCAGATTTAAACAAAGGAACAAAATTGTAAATGTTGTTTCTGCACTCAGTATTCTAAGGCTGAATGTTAAAAGTGCCTTCTGTCTTAAAATCATAAACCAAATACTTTGTGTTGAACTTGGCAGGCAGAAGTGTCCTTGCTTTGAAAATGAACAAAGAAAATTCCCAGCAAACTTGCTGGGGATAGAAAAGTATTAAGAGATCTATTTTAGTTTTTAGACTGAGAAGTGGTAGCAGTATTGTTTCAGTTAACTTAAATGAATGCGATAGAAGGTTGATGATGTGATTCAGAAAAGTAAAATGCTTGCGTTTCAGACTCTGTGACACCAAAAGGTTCAGCTACTTTCTGTAATTGGTGCTGTGCTGCTTTTTGCCCTTGTCAGCTTCTAAATATGAAGACTTTCAACTGCATACCCATTTATTTAAAGAATTAGTTTAATTTTAGGATTTTTTTTTTCTTAAACATGAATGTCAGAGACACACTTATGTTGTATGGCAAAGTGGATTATAAACACTAAGTTGCTGGGGATAAACTTGACGGTGAAACATGCAGTGTTGCGTAGAGAAAATAATTTTTAGATTGAATTCACTAAATAGTATTTAAATTACTACTGAAGTAATTTTCTGGTTTGTATCAAGGATGTAGGTGGAAACTGCTTTAATGTATAGAGTTCTGTGGTATGAGTAACATCTGTTGCACGTAACACTAAATTACTTGTCCCTCTTGTCTAATGGTTTTAGACAACAATTCATTAAATGCGTTTTGTATTGACCAGAGTATAGTTAAAGCTTGTCTTGATGTTTAGTTCTGTCTCTCAAATGCCTTGAACTTTGATATGAGGGGAGTGAATGATTTTAAACTGGTCCCTCAAGGCTTTACTTTGTTCTTTTACAAGCCTTGAGGCAACTTTGCTGTTTAATATGTTGTATAGATTTATTTTGATGCCTTAGTGTAGATCACAGGAATGCATCTTTTTCATCCAAGGAAGAGGTGAACACGTGCTGCCTGAAATGGTTAGTCGCAGTGCTAATATCTCAGAGCAAGCAGCAATGGAGACAAGTATAATCAATGATTACTTGGTCCAATTTCTGGGTGTAGCGCACACCAAAAAAAAAGGAAAAAAAGCCCCATCAGCTGAAAGTATAGGTGTTGACGAACTTCACTGTGTCTTGTGCTTGTCTGTGTGGGCATAGTCTGTTAATTCAGTTTGTTTAGTAAAATTGTTTAGGGCCAGATTTTCAGCAGTCGTGTCTGCAGTCCTTGTTTGTGTGCACATAGGGATCAAATGGAAATTGAGTTTGGTCTCTGGAAGAATTCGCAGCTACACTTTGTGCACGAACTTGCAAATCTGATCCTTAATTGTGAACTCTTGTCTTGTGTGCTTTTCTTGCGGTTACTTTTTACTGGAAGTGATTTGCTAGAAATAGCCCTAACTCTTCTACTTTCTCTCTTGTGCTTCAGAAATGCAGTTGGCCTGAATAAAGGGCAAAACAATATTAGCAGTAGAAATTTGGACCTTTTTGCTTCCAGTTCTTTTAACTCTTTCCTCATTGCTCCTAATGATAGAAACAGCATCTTTCTTCCAGTAAAATGGCTCAGGTTACAATTAGAAGTGTGATGGAAATGAGTACATGCAACTGCCCCCCTGCCTGCCCCCAGCCAAAACAAATGTCCTGGCAAATATGTGGTTGATATTAATTTGACCCTTACAAATCCGAAGGCAAATTCTGAGAAAGCTTAAGGATATGAGAGTATGGGTAAAAGCTAGCAAATAATATCTGGTCTGGCAGAGGGACAGGGGTGCAGTATCATTATACAGATACTGGTTGTGGTTTCCAACACCCATGAGAACGGAGGGGAAAAAATTCATAATATACAAACAGTGGTTCTGAATTTGGGCTCTTCCTCCCCCTCCCTAGCTCTCGGAAGTTCCACAGGGAGGAGCTGATTGGAGAAGCAAAAGAGCCTCATCCCCAAACCTGCTTAGGAATTAAACATTCCTGAAATCCTCTTACTGTAAGGTGCTTGGTACTCTTAAGGCCAATGAAGCATTCAAGTCTCATTTGGGAAATGAATGTTCTTGGAAGTTTCTTACTGTAAAGTGTTTGCAACACTAAGGCCAATGAAACATTCCCTACCACCTTTGATATCCAACATGATAATAAATCTCTCTGATTAGGAGATTCCTGCATACTGCAGTACACGTTTGTCTTCTGCTGTACAGAGTCTCTTGATTGTTCAAAAAGATTGGTGAGGTGCTTCAGGCAGCACTTGATGCTCCTAATTTATATGGGCTAAAGTCAGAGAGAGATCTAATAGCTTTGGTTCTGCCAATGTTGTTTAAATGTGATCTAGACAAAGCTGGTCCAGAAAAGATGAAGTATTCTGTTACCATAAAACTGTATTAAGCATGGCCTAAATATTAGGTGTTTGTTCTGTATAGTATGTTCCATCAACTATTTATTACTAGTGCTTTAAACTCCAAATTAAACATCCATTTAAATGGAGTCATTGGGCAGATGTTCCTTTTATCAATATAGGTTGAGAGATTCTCTATTGGAGATTTAGGATACAATTTTGCTAACAGGTAAAACAATGTAAATATGTATGAATTCTATTTGTTGCACATAACTTTTTGGTATAAAAAAATAAATGTAGAAATTACCTGTGAACGTCTTGCTGCAATCATTCTTATGCTGCACTCATGCAGTCCAAACATAAGAGCTTGAATGAACCCAATCAGAGGCCTTTTTGGACTCAGTCTGAGCCTTAGAAACTGTTTTTAAAGTCAGTACTGTAATTCTGTTTCTAGAAATGTACCAAGTTGTGATTTTATTTTTTTTCAAAGACATTGTGTGTTAGCAGTAGAAGGGTTAAAGCACTTGGGTCCCCAGAGTTACCAGTTTATAGACTTTCTGCAGCTTCATCCGTGTCTCACTGAATGTTGTGCGCACATGGGTGTGTAAAGGTTGAGCGGCATTGACTTGAGGCTTTAACTGTTTACAGTTCTTTAAGCAACGTGCAAAAAAGCCCTGTGAAGTATGTTATTTTTATCTCTTCCTGCTTTCCTTGGTTCTGTAGGTCTGCTTTAACTCTGCTCCAACAAGATCGCAAAGTATCTGGAAACTGCTGTATGTTTTCCTGGACTTGGGGGAGGGAGGGAGCTTTTGGAGAAGGGTTGGAGAGGCGGCTTGGGTTTATGATTGCTCTGAGCTGTTAAGAACAAGCAGGAACTAAGACTCTGAAATGTGTGCTTACCATACGTGTGGATATTAAACTTTGCATCTGTTTTGTTGGACTGAATGAAGGTAATGCCTTTCTCTTCTGCAGCTGCAAGCCCTGTGTGTTACGATAGGGATCTGAGCCCTAGTTTGTAATGTGTTAACAACGTCGAATCTTTATCTGTTGGTACGTCATGTCTGTTGAAATGGGGAAGAAAATGGTTTTTAAAAAAAATTGTCTAGAAATAGAGAAGTTGAAACGACTTTCAAACACTGGTAATGGGCTTAAATGTGGTACTGACTCTTATACCCTGGTACATTTGAGCAAGTGTCTCTGCTATGGATAGCTTTCTAATCTGCGGTTTTAGTTGTATAGAAAATCTGTAAACCTAACACGGTATAACTAAGGAATGTTGATAGTGTGTTTCTTCTTTTCCCTTAAAAACTCAAGAAAAAACTGTTCTGAGGTCTGCAGTAAACATCTATGTCCTTATGCTGCATGTTGGCAGTGTGGAAGGTGGTATTGGTTTCTAAGTTATCAAGCCTAAAGGAAGGAGAATTGGGCCACCGCACAATGTAAGAGCAATTATTTTCTTTATATTGGCAGATGTTTTGGTCACTTTCTTGAGGTACTAGCAGAAGAGCCAGTTGTAGAAAAAGTTTTACACCATATCTGTGAATCGGAATAATGAAACCATGTAATTGTGCGAACTTCCAGCATTCAGTAGGCAGCCTCCAATCTCGTGGTTCTGCGATGTTGCAGTAAGAAGGCTGCAGACTAAATAAGTGTTCTGAGCTTTTCTGTGAGTGTTGGCATAATCTATTACAGCCTAAACCCTGGCCTTTAGGGTCCTGTAAGGCTGGTGTGCAGCCTGAAAGGGACGTTACTACACTACTGTCTGAAGTGCGTGTGTACATGAATTCACACATCGCCCTACCGCAGAATGCTTCAGGCCAGTGTTAAAAAGATTTAGATCAAATTTCCCCTCTGGACTATTATTACTGTAGTACACAGTGACAATTTAATATGAAGGAAGCTCTTCCATGCTGGAAGGTAAAACCGCAGATAATAGCGGCAGTTCTGGTACTGTGACTAAAATAGTTGTAAACAAAGTTCAGTTAATGTCGTATATCCGTATCTAACATATTCCACCTTGCTGCTGTAGTATGAATTCCATACTGTATTGGAGTATGTTCGGTATCCTCACAGAAGTGGTGGTTCATACGCTTCCTGAACGCTGTGAGCTCTCAGGATTTCTCAGCCAGCCACATGCATTCTGTCAGCAAGAGAAGCTGAATCAATTGTGCTCTTCACTAATCCTGTGGACAATTTGCTGTGATCTGAGTAGTGTAACTGTTAGGGGAGTATAACTGGAAAACCTCATTTGCATTGGAGGAATGTGATGTTCGTTTAGAGTAACTTGGATTTTTTTAGCATTGATTTGTATAATGTAAATTTTTTTTTTTTTTGCCATAAACAGATACCTCAGTCAGGATCTCTAACTTCAGCTCCTTGAAACTCTAAATATTCATTTTACTACCTGGAAACAGGAAGCCTACAGACATGGCTAAGCCTAGGAAACTAGTGTTTCTGATCTGCTTCTACTTCAGGTGGACTAGAAATTGCATTAAGACTTGCAAGGCTTGAGTCAGGCATAAATATTATTTAAACAGAAATTTAATTAACAAGTTCAGCATAGTACCCAGCCACTATACCTTTTGATTTCATTTTAGAAAGAGGGTATGTGATTTTGTTATAGGAGGAAGACAGCTTGATTCATTTGCAATCTTCCAGTATCTTTCTCTAAGAACAAATGCAGCTGCTTTGGGCTGTCGTTGGCGAGTAAATATTCCTTTCTTGTTCCCCAAAACACGTGTGGTCCCTGTAGAGAAGTTATAAAATAAAGCAAGTATATATAAAATGCTCTTATATGCCCTACCGTGAACTGTAATGATGTATGTGCTACATCAGGTTAGGTGGAAGAGACCTATGCACTTTCTTCTACGCAGTCAGGTACAACGGGGAACTTGGCAGGTGTAATTTGTGTCATCTTGGCAAGATTAATTGATGTAACTGAGTGATACTGCTGCAGTTCATTGTATTTACAACTGGTAAGTTGATGACAGTTCATTCGGGTGTGCCCGTTAACGTGATCAGTATTAGATTCGCACCAGATGTTCCTTCTGCTATTAGTTCCACCTTGAAATTTGGTGGTGAAAATGTTGATTGCTAACTGTTTGACTGTACTGTCCTTTAGTGGTGTCCATAGCCTTTTTGCCCTATTTTAGTTTTTGTAGGAAACTAGAAAAGATGATCGCAGTGTGTAGAGACCGGAACTGCACGTGTGTATGTGAACTTGTCTGCATTTTCTCCGTCCTCCTATTTGAAGCTAATACTACTCTTCTGACTGCTTCTCTGCGATGACTTAGCTTTCTAATACCTATATTGGTGCTCTACAGATTATTCTTAATGGTGTTTCTCTGCCTGAAATTAAGACTGTTCACCACCCAAACTCACTGCAGGTGGCATATGCATAACCGGGTCCTTACTAGGTCTCCTTCTGCGTTGTGATAGTTTAATTTCTGTGTGACTGTCTGCACTGTAGATCAAGTAATGCCCTGTACTTTGTGAATGCACTTCTCATCTATTAATAGTGGATGGAGTGTCATGACAGTTGTCTACTAGTGTGGCATCTGGTCCTCTATTGCTAAACCTCTATACCAAGTTAATACTGCATTATTTACGGTGCTCTGTTACTAAGGGCAGTTGGAGATGAGACGCATCCCTAACAGCTGACTGAAGCTCTGAATTGAGGATGGCCAAGAAATAAAAGCAATCTGGGCCTGCTCATGAGCTTCCCTTGCGTTCTAGCACATAGCACTCCCCTAGCACATAGCCTCGTGTTCTGGGGAGCATCTTTGCAGGAGGGGCATCTAGGAGCTCAGGCTGGAGAGAGAGGATGCATTAAGTGCAGCCAGGACCCTCCCTCTTGGCCCTGGTCATGCTGGGCTTTGTCACAGAAACCAGCTATGCTCTGTCTTGGTAAGCAGAGGGCCCTTTTGTCCTACCCTGCAGCACAATATTCTTTGTGTATTGTAAACTATTCTAAACTTGCAGGGAGGATGGAGAGTTGTTTAGAATATAAACACAAGCTTACCTTGATTAGTCATGAAATCAGCGAAATTCCATATGAGCTCCCCAACCACATATTCTTTCCTCTTTTTGTCAAAAATGGAGTGGTACTCTTTTAGCATAGCTTTCTGATACTCCTCGCTGAACATAAGAGGTGGATCCTACAGCCAGGAAAAAGAGGTCGCCTTGAATGAAGGTGACAGTTGATCTCAGCAAAGGCTCCATATGTTAACTTCCTATTTACTGGGGACCTGCTTCCTGAAGACAAGCTTTACAATTGCTTGGTCTTTTCATTGCCATTGCATTAACAATGGCCATTTAGTGAGGCTTAGCAACTACTGAAATGACAAGGGGAAATGCATGCAAAATACAAACATAATGCCAGATACACATGGAGGGGAGTCTGTGGTTTTGCTTGGTAATGGTGCTTTATCACGATAGGTATAGGCATACCACCCCCTTCTGTGCAGGACAGAGTCATGAAATGCATGTCTACTCTCCAGTGTCCTATCTTCCAATTAAGCATTTTCTACAAATGCCAAAGTACAGATTTCAAAGTGCTCAGTGCTTCTACACAAAGCGAAAAACCTCTTTAGGTAGAATCTGACCTTTGTTAGTCAGTAGCGAAGCTCATGGATTTCAGTGGAGGAGGATTACAATCCTGGAGTCTTTCAGACACTTACAAGCAAATGCATCTCAAAACTTAGTCTGGCTCAATGATACCCATCTCTTCTAATTAAGTTTTTCTGACCCTGTAAGAGCCGCAATGCTTTTTTTCCATCTAGGGTGTCTGTAACACTTACGCTGTGAAGTCCAGGAACTGAGTCCGCTCCATATTCGCTCTGGATAATGGGTTTTTGGTAGGTTTTATACCAGTTCTCAAACTGTGTTGCGAGTTGTAGTGGAATAACTTCCAGATGGCCTGGGTCGTGATACCAGGAGAAGTAGCTATTTACACAGATTACATCCACGTAAGGAGCCTACAAAAAACAAGGTGAGAGTGTTTTGTCACAGAGCTCAAAGTAGACAACCTTCACTCATAAAGCTAAATCCTCCTTTTGGTTTGTTTCATGGAATCTAGTTTTATTACACATAGAATAAGGTCTTTACCCTCATCACTCAGGCCCTCCCAACATGACATCTTTCCCAGAAAAAAAAGCAGGATAAACTTAACAAGCTAATAGCATATTAATTTGGCATTTTTCTTACAGGCTTAGGAAGTCACAGCAAAGAGTTAGACAAGATCAACCCATTTCATCCTCAGGTTTGTTAGAAGTTTTTGAGTTTCCAAGATGTCTCTGGCTTGCTGGTACATTTAGATATACTTTTTGAGTATTGGAATGTGATTACCAAGTTAGTGGTCAAATATTTTGACTAGCAACTAAATTTGTGCATCAATGGTGCAATACTAAGACTAAGCATTCTGCAAGTTATATGCCATTTCTACCACATGGACAGTATGATACAAGGGCACAAAGCCCACTAAAGATAAAGTGATGTTGTATGTAACTTGTTCAATGTTCTCTTAACATGTTTTGTAATAAAAGCAAAAAAAAGTTCTAATACTACATCGGTGTATGAGATCTATTCTTTGGTTTTGGTTTCCTCTGTGGCCTCAAGCTAGTCAGAACGTGCTAGTGGGGATGGGGTGTAAGAGCCTGGGTGTGCGTGCCTGGTGACACAGCAATATCCAAGAGCAGATCCCTGCTGGGCTCTTTCAAAACTAAGGCCACCAGATTTTTTTTCCCTGGGCTGGGGAGGAACAGACCTCTCGTGAAAGAAATAAGTAGTGTAACCTGTAGCAGGGGCATGTGGGAGTATCGCATACCTACAAACTCACCTGCTAGAATTGTTTATTGTACAGTAGTGACAGTATTATAAAGCCATCTTGAAAAATTACAAATTAGATAGGAACTACCCTGGAAACAAATGTATGTGTGTTAAAGATTCTTGGTCCATGCTCTGGCCAGCTTAAGGCACAGACATCCAAGAAAAGTGCCTTTTGGCTATTTATACAGCTCCAGGAGTGACTTTAATTATGAAGCTGGAAGAGCTTTTAGATTATTCAACATTAACAGACATCTGCCAAAGAAGATCTAGAGCAGTTTAAAGCAGGAATTAAAGCAAAGCTTCCTTCCCTTAGACTTCCACAAGGGCTGTTAGTATTTTAAAGAGGTTTAAGCTTTGGTTTAATTGCAAGTGAAAATCCTGAGCATTAGTAAACACACTCAATGGAACAGCAAAGCATGACAGTGTTAATGGAATCCAGGAGTCTGATACTGCACACTTCACTCAGGACAAGGAACTGTTCTTCTCTCTTACAGATGTGGTTTTTTCAGCTGGACTACAACTACAGGATAAGGTGCTTTGCACTAGAAAGGAAAATGTAAGTTTTCTTCTGCCTCTCCCTGTTAAATATCTCCAATAAACTTAGGGAGGTGGGGAGAAAGGACTAAAACAAATGACAAGAGGAGGAAATTTAATGTATGAATTTAAAAAAAAAAAAAAAAAAAAAAGCTAGAAAATAAAGTAAACTTACACCACGGTCAAGAGCGTAATTAGCATCTGTCACAAAGGTTACTGGTCTGGAGGGATCGAGAGCTTTAGTATGAGCTATCACTGTCCTGTTTGCAAACAGTAAAGCAAGAGTTTAACAACAGCACGGAGAAGCACAGCCCCACTTCCCCAAGCTCTCTGTCTTTTCGCCCCCCCTCAAACAGTTGGAGCTGCTTTTGATGTAGCAGGCAGAGTATTTTTAATTAAATACTGCAGGATACTTAGTGATCATCTGCTATAAAGTGCCTGCAATTCTATAGCCAGTTCTGCAGGAGTATAAATACCACGGCAGAGAGACCTTTATCTGTCACAAAGTTGTTTACTGTCCCACCTGAAAAAAGAGTGGATGTACACCAAATCCAGGCAGGTTAATTTGCCTGTTGGTGCCAGCAGCTTACAAGTTGGTGAAGGGACAGTGAGTTTGGTCATGAAAATGTGGAAAGGGTAGCAGGAAGTCTCTGAATAATTCTTGGGATGTGTTCCTGCCAAAGCACGAGGCCCTAGCCCTACACCACAGCAGGCAGAGCCGTCAAAGGTTGGCTGTTCTTGTGGAAGCCCTGAATGAAGGAGGTGACAGAATGGGAGGGTCAAGCGCTGCTGCTACCTTGACAGTGCAGGAGGGTGGTGGATCAGTCTGAAGAAAGAAAATTCACAGTTACCTCCTAATGCAGCTAGAGCTATTGGGGACAGTCTGCTAGCCCATTACAGAGATGACTCTTGGCTATCCAAAGCTTAAATCTCTTTAAAAATAAAGCCCAGGGGTCTGTAGGGACGCAAAGCAGTGGCTTTGAAGTGGGGTATCACAATCAACTGCAGAACAAATAACTGGCACTAACCAAAGAACCTTAAAGGTCAATTATTTTACAGCTTTGCTGTAATTCTCAGATAATTTAGCACTCTTCTTCCATTGGTAACAAGGAATATCCTGTGCCTATCAGGCCTGCTTTAGCTTGACCCTTAGGTCAAGAAGAGATGTTCAGACCAGATGGACTCCTGGTAATTTGGCAGAGCCTTACCGGTTCAGAAGCAACAGGTTGAGACTGTTGCGTGGTTCTGAGCACGAGTTCATCGCATGCAGCAGTTACACTTTTAGTTTGCATCTGTGGGTACTGTTTCAGGGTTCCCAAAAAAATGCTTGTCCTCTCTTTACTACTTCTCTGTGCCATCCCAAAGGAAGAAGATGCATCATCTGCCAAGATTCAAGCCTCAGCTCTGTGTACAAGCAGACACACTTACTTAAAATAGTAAGCTGCTGGGGGCAGCTCCGATGCCGGCTCGTTGGCTACCGACCACATCACGACTGATGGCCTGTTCTTATCCCTGCGGATCAGCTCCTCCATCACAACAAGATGATGCTGCAAGGACTTATTCCCAAAACTCTCACTTAAAGACAAAAAGAAGCAAGACCTGGTGAGGTGAGGGTATAAAATTTATCCTCTTTGCCTTTTCCTGTGAAAACTCAAGCCTCTGGGGTATATAAGTACAGCTGAGCCTTGACGCTGAATGTGGCTTCTGCTCTATTTCCCCAAAGCCTGCTGCACAGTTCAGGGCTGTGGTTTGGGCTCAGTAATTGAGCCAGACCAAACAATGCGATGGCCATGTGGCAAAACGCCCTCCGGTTGCCCAACCTCACTTGGCACACGTGGCACAACGGGCTGATTTCTAAATAGAGCAAAGTACTTCCATTATCAGGACAACGGGCACCGCGGGACGGGAGGGGAATGCTGCGGCAGGGATGGACATAGAAGGGAAAAGGGTCTTTTGAGCGATTGCTTACGGCATTTTAATCCCCACTCCTGGGCACTCATCGATCACCACGATGCCGTAGGCATCGCACAGGTCCATGATCTCCTCGGCATAGGGGTAGTGGCAGGTGAGGAAGGAGTTTGCCCCCAGCCAGCGCAGCAGGTTGAAGTCCTTCACGACCAGGGGCCAGTCGAGGCCTTTGCCGCGGATCTGGGTGGGGGGGAGAGAGACATCGCACCCCGTCACACCGCCCGGCCGGGGCTTCTCCTCACACCTCAGCTGGGCACCACCGCTTCCCTCTCGCTCCCCGAGTGTTTCCAGCCGCGGGTACCATTTCCAGCTGGCTGCACCGCCTCCCCGGGCGGTGTTTGCCTGTCGGAAGGGCGCTGCCCCCGGCACACCCGCACGCCGGTCTGGAGCAGC